CCCCCACCCCCAACATGTGCTTCTTGTAAGATGGTGGTAAAAATACAGACTGCTAAGAGAGTTTGGTAAATTCAAGAAACTATCTTAGTCTAGGACAGACCTTTGACTTTAGGAAATAAGGAAAATGTATTCATCTGTTCTATTTGCTAATTTCAGGATACAATTTTTCTTCTTTTTTCCATTTAACAAAACCACTAAAAAAGTCAGCATTAGTTTCTGCTACAGTTATATAATTTCTAGTTATGCTATCCAAGCACTCTGATAAAACTAATTTAAGCTGGGCAGTGCCTGATTTGGGGCATGTAAGCCATTTTTCAGTGAACCCAAAGATTGTCATTTCACAAAGCACCATACTTAAAATGGGACTGCTTGAACATCACTGTCTATTTCACTCGTCAAGTTATGTAACTTTTAGACACAGTCACGGTCCCAGTGTGTGCATAGGTCCTATATGGCTGCCACCTCCAAAGTTTATAAGCATAAATCCTGCAGAAATAGATTTTTTAAGTTACCTGGATATTGTCAAAATGAAGAAGAGTCAATATTTTGTCTTCTCTGTTTAAACAATGAATAAAGTAAAATACAAGCCATTATTTCAGAGTTAAAGATTTAACCCACAATTATTTTATCCTAAAACTCTGTGTGTTTATTCCCCAATCATTTGTTTTACAATTCTTTGCAATGTTATTGTGTGCACAAATTCACCTATATGTAGGCACTTTATCATTACAATGATAAATCCATGTCTTGTGTTCATTAGGATGAATGTGTCTCATTAGTAACTGAACCAAGCCTTACCTGCAGACTGTTGAAAATGACAAAGAGAACCAACATCCAGAAGTGTCTGTAAGCCATATGAAGTCCTCCCCAAAGCCAAGTGATGGAAATCAGGGCAAAGAGATATAAAACCAGTGGAATTTCTAGAAACCATTAAAAAAAAAAGAAGAAAAATAATTTTGAGCTTTAGAATACTGCATAGTCACACATGTACATAAAATTATTTTTGGTTCCCTTCTTGTGATACTCTATCTATATCCTTAAGTACCCATTCTGAAAGAACAGCCTTGGAAATCCCATTCTTGTGCCAGAGAGAAGAAAGCACATTGCTGAGTCCACATTCTTTCTCTTTTGCAAATGAATTTGCTGGTAGGCAGGGGGTGGGGAAGGATAGCTGTTCCTCTCCTAGACTGTCACCTACTGGATTGTTTGGGAAGTGCCACAACTATGGGGGTGAAACAATATTTCAATCCCAGTGGAAGAGTGGATGGCTACATCTCCAAAGAGTTCCCCACCAGAAAATTGTAGCTCCTGATATTAGCATTCTCATCTTAAAATTTCTCTCTTTTAAATTTGTTTTAGCTTTTTTGTTGTTGTTGAAAATAAACACAGCAGAACAAATACCTATTCAACAATTTTTACATGTACAATTCCATGACATTGATTACATTCTTCAAATAGTGCAACCATGTCAGCCTTTTTTTTTTCTTCTGAATTGTTCCACTCCATTAACATAAACTCACTGCCTCCTAGGTTTTCCCATCTAACCTTTGAGTTGCTGTCGTCAAGTTGATCACACGTAGATTGTTTTTTAAAAGAACACAGGGCTCAAGACAGACATTCTTTACTAGTTAAGCTAAACTACTGTTTGGTTTAAAGAGGACTTCAGGGGATATTTTTGGTTTAAGGTTGAAAGATTATCTCAGGGCAAGAGCTCCAGGAATTCATCACGTGAAAATTTTTTGTGTGTGATAGAAAAACACGTATTCATCTTCTTTCTCTGCGTGAGTAGACAACAATATTATAACTATGGTTAAGAGCAGAGATGAATTGACTAATTCATTCCTATCAACATGAAGCTGAATCTACTCATCATTTTATCCTGCAATTTGTTTCAATAGTTTTCAGAACAAATTTCTTCAAGGTCAAGGGACTCCATTATCCTTTCAATTATTTCTATTTGGAATTTTCTTTGATATTTAGTTCTTAGAATAGTAACCTTAAAGAGTTGATTTTAATATTTAAGGAACAAGTCATAGATGATTTAGAAAGTGAATTAGATCTTAGCAATCACAAATAAAACTCATTTTCAGACAGCTGAAAGGCCATGTTATTGAAAACTCTCATATCAGATGTCAAAGTCCACATTTGCTCACCAGCATCAATTAGCACCTAAAATTCAGAGGCATTGCCTGTCAGTTTGTCCTACTATGGTGGCTTTAGTGTTGCTGTGAGGCTGGAGGCTATGCCACTGGCATTTCAAATACCAGCAGGTTACCCATGGTAGACAGTTTTCAGCGGAGCTCCTAGACGAAGACAGAGTTGCAAGAAGGAAGGAGCCATCCACGTCTCAAAGAATTGGCCAGTGAAAACCTTCTAAATAGCAGTGAAACACTGTCTGATATCTACTGGAAAACAAGACTGGGCAGTATTTTGTTCTGTTGTACATAAGATCACTATTAGTGGGAGTTGACTTGACAGCACCTAACAACAACAACAAAAGGAGATTTGAATAGTTAGGAGATTTGAAGAATTAAATAAAACCTTAGCAAACTGTAAGTTTTGTTTTATTTTGAGGCAATCTCAAACTTACAGAAAGGTTTTAAGTATGGTACAACAAACTTGTTTCATCCTAAACAGTTGACAACTGCCCACCTGATCCCCCATCACCCTCTGAATACTTTCTATGTATTTCCTATAAGACATTCTCCCACAGAATCACAATAGAGCCATCAAGCCATGAAATTAATGTACTACTTCGCTATCATCCACAGATCCCATTCGAGATTTGCCAGTTTTGCCAGTAATTTCCTTAGTAACGTTATGATCCAATTTAGAACCATTCCTTGTGTAGGGATTTGTTTTTGTAGTCTCCTTTAATCCCAAATGGTTCATCTGTGTGGCCTTGCGTTTCATGACCCCAGTATTTTTATAATTTTTTATCACTTTTTTTTTTTTTTTTTTTTTTTTTTTTTGTAGAGTGTACTTACACTTGAGTTTGTATGGTATTTTTGCATGATGAGAATTAGACTATAAACTTTGACAGAAGTATTACAGAAGGGATTCCATGTTCTTCTCATTGCATTCAGTTGAATGACACAAGATTTCAATTTATGCCATTACTATAAATGTGTACTTTGGACTCTTGATTAAAGTAACAACTGGAGGGTTTCTCTACTGTAAAGTTAGCCTTTTTTTCTTTGTAATTAGTAAAGTATCTTGTGTGACACTACTTTGAAACTATTGTAAATATCCTTTTCCCTATCAAGTGTTTGATTGATTCACTTATTTTTATAACATGGACTTATGCATTCCTATTTTATTTAATAGGTTATAATCCACTATTGTCATTATTTGTTTTGATGCCCAAACTGTCCATGGTTTGGTTAGTGGGAGCCCCTTCACACACACACACACACACACATACGCATGTACATACACACACACACACACTGTATTTCTGTATCTCCCTATGTAATGAAAATCAGTTCTCACCAATACTTCCAATTCCCATCCAAGACCACACCATATTTATAACTCCCTCTCCTGTCAGTGAGAAATCATTTTCTCATTCTTAATATATTTGATCAGCTCTTCTGTATGTAACCAATGTCTTATAGATGTCATCTCCTCCCCTATCCAGATACCTTTCTCAGCTCATTCAGGATTGCATACCCTATGCTGGGCTGCAACCTACCACTCACCTGGATGTCCTCTTCACAATGATTGAGTTCTTACATCCTATGCCATACCCCCTCCCTGTGCATGTATGCCTTGCTCTGTATCAAGTAATAGCTTTAGTACTGAATTCAGGAAAGGAAGACATGTGAAAGAACCATAAGAAATGGAAAAGAAAGGGGAAAAGAGAAGAGGAAGGAGCCTAGCCACTCCTCGGAAGGAAGATTGGGCAATCTACTTCTGTAATGATACTGCCTCGGGAACCCAAGGAGGGGTCACTATAAGTTGGATCTGACTCAATGGCTTTTTTTTTTTTTTTTTTTGACTTAATTCAGGAAAGGAAGACATGTGAAAGCACCATGAGAAATGGAACAGAAAGGGAAAAAGAGAAGAGGAAGGGGCAACTTAAAGACATTTTTGAGATGAAGGAAAGCTTTAGAAAACAAACAAACAAAAAGACTATGCTGATAACTTTTTCAGATATGCTGTTCACAGAGAAATATACTTATTTTCTGAGTTATTTATTATAACTGCAAAAGAGAAAGTAAGAATAAAAATATAAGGTTTACACAGATGAATATTTATTTGGTCATTAATGTCTTGTAGCAAGACAGGGAAGAATATATTAAAATCTATTTAACTTTTATAAAACTTAATTTTTGTTTAATGAAATCATACTACTTGATAAAGGGCCAGGAGGCTCATTTTTACTTTTGACAAAATAATATTTAGGAATCTGCCTAAGCTAAGTTTTTCAAAGGTTAAGTATAAAGTTTGGCAATTGTACTCTTTGCTCCCACTGCGTAAGTACAAAATTCTATTTATGGCTCTTGCAGAGTACAAAAGGACATGCACATTTTGTATGAACAACTAGGAACCAGTCTTTCAAAATTTAGCTGGTATGCTTCTCTAAGTGTCTAGAGCCAAGAACACCAAAAGCAAGTGCTTTCTGCTCACAAGGCCCAGTGGAGAAGCCCAGAGAGCATATTGGGACTGTGCAGAAATACCTATGACCCATGCTTTTCTGGAACTATGCAGTAAAGAGTGGTAGCTTGATAATCCTGTATGCAAGACAAAAACCAAAGAACTCACTGCCATCAAGTTTATTCTAACTCAGAGTGACCCCCGTTAGGCTTCTGAGGAGGTAAATCTTTACAGAAATATATTGCCCAGTCTTCCTTTCACAGAGCGGCTGGTGGGTTTGAATTGCCAACTTTCTGGTTACCAGTGAAATGCCTTAGGCACTACGCCACCAGAGCTCCTTTGCATACAGGACAGCCAACCATAAATAACTCAGCGTATTGAACAACAGACCCCAGGCTGGCTCTCTAGCAGTGCAATAATGATCAAGACTTGATTTCAGAGAAAAAAATGGATCTAGAGGTGCATCCATATTGTGTGGGCCTGAAGCTTCTACAACTGTGGGAAACTTCTTAAGAAAACCTGCAAATACATAATTAGGTGCAAGATCTTAGAAGAGACCCATGCAAATGAGTGCCTTCAAACTTAAGCTGCATCAGCTTTATGGTAAACTTACCTTTGAGAAGGCATCTAGACTCCTTATGGCCTAGAGGAACAGTGATCAAAATGAGAAGGTGTCGGGGGGAGTGGATGATGTGGATGAAAGTTGGGGAGGGGGCATGCTGCTGATTAACAAATTCTGTTTCATAGATTGAAAATTGGGAGCTTTTGTAGCATAGTGCCTAAGGCACTTGACTGCTAACCAGGAGGCTGGTGGTTCAAACCCACCAGCCACTCCTCAGAAGGAAGGCTGGGCAATCTACTTCCGTAGTGATACTGCCTTGGAGGGGTCACTATGAGTCAGGTCCAACTCGATGGCACATAATAACAACAACAACAAAAAATTAAAAATTAATGTTACATTTAATAAAAACTCATTCATTTCATATTTCCTAAGGCTTAACTTCATATTTAGTGAAGTACTAGTTAAACTTCCCTGTTGTCTATACCAGTCAACCTTTATCAAGCAAAACTTTTACAATTGGCAATGTTAGAAACTTATAGCTGTGAATTAGTTAACAGAAAACAGAATCATTTCAATGTATTCAACAAAATGGAGCTCTCAAAAACAATACTGGGCCCAAGGACTAAGGATATCTATATAAAAGACTGTGCTAAGAAAGCCAAGCTTTTGTCAGGATGTTCTACTACTAAGAGAAAAAAAAAATCATCCGAGTACTTAATTTAAATACTTAAACTAACAAGGAGTCACTAATGTGAAAAA